GAGAGAGACAGAGAGAGAAAGGAGGAAGGAAGGAAGGGGAAGGTGGGCGGGCGAGAGGGATGAGAAGGAAGGAAGGAAGGAAGGAAGGAAGGAAGGAAGGAAGGAAGGAAGGAAGGAAGGAAGGAAGGAAGGAAGGAAGGGGAGATGGGCAGGATGGGAAAGAAGGAAGGAAGGAAAGAGAGAGAGAGAAAGGAAGGAAGGAAGAAAGAAAAAGAAAGAAAGAAAGAGAGAGAGAGGGAGAGAGAAAGAAAGAAAGAAAGAAAAAAAGAAAGAAAAAGAAAGAAAAGACCATTGAAATTTTCCCAGAAGGTGACTCATCTGACAAATCGTTAACTGAACACTCATTTTCTGTTAAGACATGTACTAGACATGGCCAACTCAGCCCTAAGAAACACCAAGGTGGGAATTCTGGTGCCAGGGTTTGGAGAGGGCATCCTGTACACTGCAGAGAAATATTTGCCACTGGGCAAATAATTAGATTCACTGATGTGCCACCCAACACGAGTGAGACAATACAAATTTAGAAAACCCCTAAACGTTATCAAGACTACCGGTAAGTCTTCTTCTCTCTTTCTTCCTGGGAACTTTGATCCTGTTGCAATGCTACCTTGGGAATTGGTTGAGATTACCTGCGGGAAAACATCTCAAATGGAAAACCAGGTGTTTTCCATGGCAAGTGAAAAGCATTCTCGAAAGCTGGTACTTTATTATTTGTACTTTATTATTTAAAAGAACTTAATTCATTTTTAAAAAAACCCAATGTATTTTAACCAAATGGAAAACGACGATTGCAATTTATCAAGAATAAACTGCAGGGGTGACACATCTAATATTATTTACTGTTTATTTAAGTCTGCCTGTCTTGGGAGTTTCCGAATGTCCACTTCAGGCATCATCTATGCATTTTAACATGCTCCATAATGGAGTTGAGAGCAGTTGAGGAAACCATAAAATTCCATCCATGGTTTCTTTAGCACCATGTACACATTAGTAAGCTCGCACAGGACTTGTCACAGTCAACCAGGGTTAACAACTCCTACGCTCTTCCCAAATCAAGCGTGAACTTACTCCCGCGGCGGATGTTGATAAGAAGGTTCCCTCTAATTTCGGTGCATCCCTGGAGCGTCTGTGCCGACGTGACGGAGTCAATCGTCATGATTTTGTCATCTGCACACACTTTGGGGCAGGGTCCCTCACAGGGGCTGCAGAACATGCTGGCAAAAGACAAAAAGAATTGGAAGAGATGAGCATGAACGGGCCTTCCATGCTGCAGTGGTGAGAACGCAGCATTACAGGCTAATTCTGTCGGCTGCCGGCAGTTCGATCCTGACCAGCTCAAGGTTGACTCAGCCTTCCATCCTTCCGAGGTCAGTAAAATGAGGACCCAGGTTGTTGTTGGCAAGAGGCTGACTCTGTAAACCGCTTAGAGAGGACTGTAAAAGCACTAGGAAGTGGTGTATAAATCTAAGTGCTATTGCTATTCCTGAGAGGACCTTTCTAACAAACGATGATTGGGAGATCCAACTTAGAAGTAAGAAACATTTCTGGAGAGTTGAGAAAAATTAAGCAATGGAATATCTTGCTACTCAAAGTTGTGGGCGTTCCATCTCTGGAGGTTTTTAAGAAAAGATTGGACTACCGTTTGTCTGGGATGGTGTAAAGTCTCCTGCCTTGGGCAGGGGGTTGATGTAGAAGAGGGGTCTCCAACCTTGGCAACTTTTAAAACTTGTGGACTTCAACTCCCCAAATTCCTCCTCCAGTCATGTTATTCTGGGAGCTGAAGTCTACAAATCTTAAAAGTTGCCAAGGTTGGAGACCCCTGATTTAGAAGACCTCCAGCCCTATGATTCTGCGACGTCTTAGGTATCTTTGGATGCAAGATATCCATAACAGAATGGACCTTTCATATCTCTTTTGCAAGATCATATTTGAAATTTCTCCAAAAGTGAGTTTAAATTGGATCCACTTGGTCATTCAACTTGTCTCCCGGAGTTGTGGATACTCCAACACTGGAGGCCTTCAAGAAACAATTGGACAGTCATTTGTCCAGGAGAGCAATAGCAAATAGCTCTTAGACTTATATGCCGCTTCACAGTGCTTTACAGCCCTCCCAAAGTGGTTTACAGAGTCATCCTCTTGCCCCCCACAATCTGGGTCCTCGTTTTACCCACCTCGGAAGGATGGAAGGCTGAGTCAATCTTGAGCTGGTCAGGATCGAACTACTGGCATTGGGCAGAGTTAGCCCACAATACAAGTAGTCCTTGACTTACGATCACAACGGAGCCCAAAATATCTGTTGCTAAGTGAGACATTAGTGAATTTTGTCCTATTTTGTGACCTTTCTTGCCGCCGTTGTTAAGTGAACCTCTGCAGTTGTTAAGTTAGTCATACGGCTCTTTAAGTGAATCTGATTTCCCCGTTGACTTTGCTTGTCAGAAGGTTGCAAAAGATGGTCACGTGTCCCCAGATCTCTGCAACCGTCGTAAATATGAATCAGTTGCCAAGCACCTGAATTTTGATCACCTGACCATAGGGATGCTTCCAGAAGGCCTATGAGGATCTTTGTGCTTCTGATTCTGTACTGCACAACACATCCAGATTTCTTTTTGGACTGCCTTTGCATTGCACTGATAAATTTGGCTAGATTTTAGCATGCAAGCCACCAGGACGAGAACTTTTTAATTCTTTAATTTCACCCCCCCCCATGTGTGTGTCTCTGTCTCTCTGTCTCTGTCTCTCTCTCTGTGTGTGTGTCTCTCTCTCTTTCTGTCTTTCTCTCTCTCTCTGTCTCTTTTTTTCTCTCTCTCTCCATGTAATTCTGTCTCTGTCTCACTCTCCCTGTGTATCTCTGTGTCTCTGTCTCTCTGTCTGTCCGTCTCTCTCTCTCTCTCTCTCTCTGTGTCTCTCTCTGTCTCTCTCTCTCTGTGTCTCTGTGTGTGTGTGTGTCTCTATCTCTCTGTCTCTTTCTCTGTCTCTGTGTGTCTCTCTCTCTTTCTGTCTCTCTCTCTGTGTGTTTCTCTGTGTCTCTCTTTCTGTGTGTGTGTGTGTCTCTCTCTCTGTGTGTGTCTCTCTCTCTCTCCATGTCATTCTGTCTCTGTCTCTCTCTTTCTCTCTCTCTCCCTCCCATTTGTCAGCTGATTCCCACCTGAGTCACGTGGTATCTTTGCAATCCAGTGCCTCCCATGATGCTTCACATGAATTCGCAAGCTCATATTTCAAATGCTTCAGCACAAGGCACTGTTGATACACGCCAGAAACTTTTGAGAAAGCGCACTAAGAATTTTCAGTCCTTCGGTTCACGAGCGATGGGTGTGCGATCAAGGGAGACTGGAGCAGGAAAAAACCCCTCGCACACACACATGGACACAAATGCTACACGCACACTAGTTATCATTCCCTCTTTTCTGTCCGTGTTTTTTTTTTCCATTCACACCGTGAACATTTGGATACGTTAAACACCTGGCTCTCTTTTTTTAATGAGTGTTTGGTCATTTCCACACACATTTCCAGGTAAACATTCAGTTGCTGGCTGGGGGCAGAGATCACTGCATTGCACCTGTATGTAAACTAGAAATTCTTCGGCAGAAAAAAAGGAGAGGTGTGTTTGGATAGCTTCACACAAAACAAAGAGACGCCAGACGTCATCAACCGTTCAACTCAACCCAAATAAAGACACACCGGCCAGGTCATTAAAAACAATTTAACAATCCCCGCGGGGAATTCTCCCTCTGCAAGAGAAAAATTTCCTTTTTAATTACACCCCTGATCAGGAACGCCGCCGGCTCTTAATCAGGCAGCCGATAACAGCAGATTCGGCACTTATTTCATTTCTCCAGCACAACAACGGTCAATTCTTGGATGACTTGGCGGATAATCTCAGCCTGGAGTGAGCCGGCCGTTGAAGTTTCCACTGAAACACCGCGTAAAATGTGCCACCCGTGGATAAGGTGAAACGTTTGGCGTGTTTTGATTTTCACAATTGGCTTAAGCTGCAGGAGGCGTGTTCTTCATGAGGTTTTGGTTAAAAGTTGGAGCGTCGGCTTTTTCACAGATCTGTGAGCATATACAGGATACAGGTACTCCGCGGCTCATCGGCTGATGAAAATTTCTCAAGGAGAATCTTACAGAAATCCAATCTTTTATTTCCATGGGAACAACAGTTCGGCATTCACTAATGTAGTAACCTCTGTCGATTTCACCGGACATGTGATGACCCGGGGCGTGACACAAAAGCAACAAAGTCACAAAAAGTAGGTAAAGTCCCTTTAATTTCCCCAACTTGGCCCCCAATGTCCAGTTATTGTCAGCTGGAGAAAAAACTCTCCCAAGAACAGTTTTTAAAGGGAAGAAATTCAATCCAAACTCAATGTACGTATAAATTATAAATAAAACCCAACACAAACCACACTGCAGCAATTAACGGGATAGGGCAGGATAAGGAATTGCAAACTTCTAAAAGGCAACATAACACACACAGTTGGAACCCAGATAGGATGTGACAAACAAAGATAATGCACACTTTGCTTCCAGCAAGGTGCTGTGTGCAAACACCCTTTATATTCGGTCTTCCCAGCTGCAGCTAATGAAGGAAATCAGGGCCTTTTTCTCCCCCTAAGCCACATTGCTCCCTTATCCGTTCCTCCCTGCGTGCCCCAGGATGAAGATGGGGTGGGCCTGGGTCTTCCTCTGAATGTTCAGCCGGACTGTGCCTTTCCTCAGTTTCCTCCCCAGCCACTGGAGCCACACTCCCACTCCCGGTCAGCTGTTTGACCTCCCCCTTGGAATCAGATTCCAACAGGGGCATGACAGGACATAACTGCTGCAAATGACAGTCCTTGGCTAACAGACACTTGTTTAGTGACCTACGAAGTTACAACGGCATTGAAAAGAAGGTAACTTAGGACCATTTTCCACACTTACGACTGTGGCAGCATCCCCCGTTGTCACGCGATTGAAATTCGGACACTTCACAACGGACTCATATTTACGACGGTTGCAGTGCCCCAGGGTCATGTGATCTCCTTTTTTACGACAGCAAACTCGATGGGGAAACCAGATTCACTTAATAACTGCCTTGCTCCCTTAACAACTGTAGTGATTCTCTTAATACCCATGGCAAGGAAGATCATAAAACGGGGCAAAATTCACTCAACAACAACTCACTTATCAACAGTGGTTTTGGGCTCGATTGTGGACATAAATCAAGGACTGCCTGTATGTTATGCCCCTCTGAGAGACTGACTCCAAGGAGGAAGACAAACAGCTGAAAGGGAGTGGGAGTGTGGCTCCGTTGGCTGTGGAAGAAACTGGGGAAGGGAAAAGTCTGGCTGGGCAGAGCAGAGGAGAGGTAGAACAAGGGAGAGGGAATTCAGAGGAAGACCCAGGCCCACCCCCTCTTCATCCTAGGGCACGCAGGGAGGAACGGAGAAGAGAACAACATGGGTTGTGTGGCTTATGGGGGAGGAAAGGGCCCTGATTCCCTTCATTAGCCACAGCTGGGAATGAGAGTTTAAAAGAAATGCAAGCTGAGAACGACGTTTGCTGCGACCAAACGTCAGTTTATCTTGTGTTGACTGTGGTTATCTGCATTCCTGGCTTCCTCCCAACTGTGTTGAATTACGGCTGTTCCTTCACACCTGGAACTCCTTCTCTTGCCCTGCTGGACTAATTACCTCACCTTGCTTTGACTGGACTTATAGTTACAGTTTTGGTTGACTATGTTTTGGCCTTGATTCTCTGCAGCCAAAGGCCGTTCCTGGGAGAGTTTTTCTCCAGCCCAGAAGGTAACCAGGACATTGGGGGGCAAAGTTGGAGCTAATAAAGGGACTCCTACTGATTATCTGACTGTGTTGCCTTTGTGCCACGCCCCGGTCATCGCACTGTACTTGAAACATTCTTAAGAGGGACCCCATTAAGAGTTTGGACTCTTCCTTAACCCTACCGACTAGAAAAAAAAAATCAGAGCTACTCGCCCTTCCTGTGTGTAAACACAAGCGCCCCCTGTTACCTTTGGGTATCGTTGCGCACAAATCCTGGAGGGCACTCTTGTATACACTCGTCCTCATGGATCACGAAGCTCTCATATTCCCCAAGTGAATCCGAGGAAGAGATCCGGGAGCAGTTCTCCTTGGTAATGCAACGCCAGCCCTCAAACTTGTAGGTGTTGGGTGGGCAGGTAGGAACACAGGTGCCGTCGTGGTAGTAGTTGCGACAGGCTACGCAGGCCGAGCTGTTGTGGGGTGCGGTGCAGCTGCCCAAGCATTCGGGGTGACAGCATTCGTTCTGGTCCGTGCAAGCATGTTTGCCACAGGAACTGGGACAGGCTGGAAAGAGAGAGAGGACAGAGTAGCAGGCATGAAAAGACCATCTTCAACTGGAAGGAAGGAAAGAGTAACAAGGGACGTGATTGGCAATATAGAAGGAGCACTTGGACTTATATACTGCTTCACAGTGCTTTATAGCCCTCTCTAAGCGGTTTACAGAGTTAGCATGTTCAGGGATGGACTTCCAAAAGTTTAGCAACAGGTTTTCTGCCTGGTGGGTGGGTGGGCATAGCCATGGTAGGCGTGGCCTAGTTGGCCGGCCTCCTGTACCACGGCAGCGGGGGCATTTTTGCCCTCCCCGGACTCCGGAGGCTTTCCTTGAGCCTCCAGGAGGGGGAAAACGGCCTCCCCAGTCTCCGGAGGCTCTCGGGAAGCCAGAAACGGACCCAGTTCCGGCCTTCCTGAACTTCCGGGGAGGGCCATTTTTCACCCTCCCCGAGCCTCTCCGTGGGCCGTGCACTTGCCTGCATCCAAAATGGGGCACATGGGGGACTCCTCGGAGGGGTAGGCGGGGCCAGCCAGGAGTGTGATTTGGGGATTCTCCGAACTGCACAGAATCTTAGCTAGGGGACACTCCAGAATCCCCGCGAACCCCCTGCGGCCCCCAACAACCTGAGTAATCATTTAACCAATTTCAGAATGATTGAGTCATTCTTGAGCCAGTCAGGATCAAATTCCTGCCAGTAAGCAGAGTCTGCCTGCAGGCATAAACAGTGAGAGACAGAGAGATAAGAGACTACTGGGACTTAAGGCTTATATACCACTTCACACTGCTTTACAGCAGGGGTGGGATTCAAATTTTTTAACAACTAGTTCTGTGGGCGCAGCTTAGTTGGTGGGCGTGGCTTGGTGGTCATATTATTGGCTGGGCGTGGCCAACTCAGTATCGCTCATATCGAGGCACGCACCTCCTCGCCTGGCCTCTCATGACTGTGGGGAGGCTGCAACAGTATAAGTATGAAAAATGGTCATAAGTCACTTTTTTCAGTGCCATTGTAACTTTAAATGGTCACTCCACACAAGCAAAGTACCAGCAAAGGAGGGGAAAAAACTCCAGAGATGTTCTGGAGATAGGAAGTCTAGTCCTGCCAAGAATGTAATAAGGGTTAACGGGAGGCAGTTTCTGTAAGCAACACCAGAATGTTTCCTTCCTGCCTTCCTGACAGGATTAGCCCTGTAATTTCTTCTAACAACTGGTTCTCCGAACTGCTTAGAATGTTAACAACCGGTTCTAGCGAATAGGTGCGAACTGGTAGAATCCCACCCCTGCTTTACAGCCCTCTTTAAGTAGTTTACAAGAGTCAGCCTCTTGCCCACAACAATCTGGATCCTCATTTTACCCACCTCAGAAGGCTAGAAGGCTGAGTCAACCTTGAACCCCAGTCAGGATTGAACTCCTGACATTGGGCCTGCAATACTGCATTCTAACCACTACACCCCCCAAGGCTCTTAAAGTTGGCTAACATTCATCAGTTTCCATTTCCTATCGAAGTTTTCCCAAACCTAGACTTCCAACAAGGTGTAAATGCAAAAGGAACCCAACCATAGGGCTGATTCCGGTCACAAATTCTGGATGAATGGGGAGGGTTAGGAAAAGCAATAGTGAACTACCCTGTGAAAATCTCACCGGAACACTTTTATGGCAATAACTCAGCATGTACATAAGACCACGTGTGATTTACTTTGGCCATGTTATGCGTATCAATTCACTGGACGAGGCAATGATAACTGAATGGTTAGTGGAACAAGAATGAGCAAGCAAAGAAGAATTGGGTATGTCTAGTTTACTGAAAAGTAGGACTAGGATTGACATGATAGCAGTGTTCCTATATCTAAGGGGTTGACACAAAGAAGAGGGGGTCAAGCTATTCTCCAAAGCACCTGAGCGCAGGACAAGAAGCAAATAGATGGAAACTAATCAAGGAGAGAAGCAACTTAGAACTAACGAGACATTTCCTGACAGTGAGAACAATTAATCAGTAGAACAACTTGCCTCCAAAAGTTGTGGGTACTCCAACACTGGAGGTTTTAAAGAAGAGATTGGACAGCCATTTGTCTGAAATGGCATAGGGTCTCCCTACTTGAGCAGGGGTTGGACTAGAAGACCTCCAAGGTCCCTTCCAACTCTGTTATTTGATAAAAGAGCATGCTGGCTTGATCACATCAAATCTGATGCAAGTTCAATATCCCACAACTGAATGAAACTGTGCTTGACAAGGTAACATGGAGAATACTTGCCTATAAGATCGGACACAACTAAATAGTTAAAACAACAACAAAAGGTAAGTACATTTGAAGATTATGGGATTACAACTGTGTAACCGAAGCACTCTTAATTACAATTTGCTGCATCAATCAAGCTAATTAATGATATAGCCTCTCAACCATTCCTAGAGTGTCCATAATAGTGTTACCATAGAAAATGCAAGATATATCTCAAACAGACAATGTAATAGAGGAAGAAAGTCACATCTAGCTGATAAATCAAGGATAAACGCAATATCTTAATATAATCTTGTGACATATTTGGTAAGAGGTACAAAATAAATCAAGTTATAAATACTGCTAATGGGCAAGCTCAGACAGTCCTTAGGGTAAACAGAAGCTAAGCAACAATATCTTCCAGAACCTGAAAACATACTTTTAATAATCAGTCCGGAATTTAAAACTACTATCCCTTGAAGGTCCATGTTTTAATATTTGGATCCCAACTGATACAGCAACCAAAACTGATAAAAACAAATTTGCTTTTATCTCGACATCTAAAAGCAACAAGGACTCCAGCATCTTCCAGGAGCTGCTTGTGTGGTCCTCAAAAGAATTTGAACAACTTGGGATAATCTGAGTCACCTCTTCCCCACTCACCCAAATTCCAAGAGCCTCTTGGTATGTCCACTTTCAGCTTGCTTTCTCGCAGTCCCCAACTTTCATCTACAAGAATATCTTTGCTACCTTGTCCATTTAAGCCGGGTAATAAAGCCAAAAGGCAGAACTTTTCTAAATAAATGTTTAGTGACTGATCCCATCAACTATGTCTATGGACCCAGGCTTCAGCAGGTCCCAAAGGCGGAACGCCTGACTTGTCCACTCCTCTACCTGACAAGGGAAACGGCGTAATGTCAGATCAAAAGACGTCCATGATGGTGGTTGATTTGTTCTCCGGGCTTCCGGTTTAGCTTCTGAATGTTTCGTTACCAAGCTAGGTGACCTCCTCAATGGGACTTCTTCGGTCAAAGCATCTCATTCCAATTCTTCTCCGCTTTTATTGATCTCATACGGTTGATGGGTCGTGTGACTGGTTGGTGGTGTTGTGTGAAGGCCACCAAGTGAAGACATGGTCAGTTCCGTGGTTGGTTGGTCTCTCAATGGATACGGCTCCTGATGGGTTTGTAGGCAGGGTGGCTACCTCCAAAATCTGTGGGACATGCGATGTCAGCCTTGGCTTGGAAGCCATATTTTATTTGGAATAAGAGTTGGAAGGGACCTTGGAAGTCTTCTAGTCCAGTCCCCTGCTCAAGATGGAGACCCTATACCAGTGGTGGCTAGCCTTTTGGGGCTCCTGTGCCAAAAATTGTGCATGCACTTGCACGCTGCGCTCGCATGCCAGCACCCAGAAGGCAATGCGCGCCCCCCACCTCCTATGCATGCGCATGCAATCCCCACCCACCTCTGCCGTCCCCTAACCTGCACTGTGCCTCGCAGCTAATTTTCGGCCGGTTTGAGGCCTTTTTCGGCCTCCCAGATGCTTGAGGAAGACTTCTGCAGGCTGAAAACTAGGCCCGTTTCGTCACTTCCGGTATTTCCAGAAAACCAGGAAGTGACGAAACGGGTCTAGTTTTCGGCCTGCAAAGTCTGCAGTAGCCTTCCTCAAACCTTTGGAAGGCCGAAAAAGGCCTCAAACTGGCCGAAAAACAGCTGTGAGGCGCATGCATGCACAGTGAGGTAAGTCTGCCTGCAGCTCGCGTGCCGGCACAAATGGCTCTGTGTGCCATAGGTTCGCCATCATAGCCCTATACCATTCTAGAGAAGTGGCTGTCCAGTTTCTTCTTAAAAGACCTCCAGTGATGCGAGTAGCCACAAGTTCTTGTGGCAAGCCGTTCCACCGGTTAATTGTCCTCACTGTTAGGAAGTTTCTCCTTCATTTCAGGTAGCTTCTCTCCGTGATTAGCTTCCATCCATCGTTCCTTGTCCTGCTCTCTGGGGCTTAGGAAAACAAGTTGTCCCCCTCTTCTTCCCAGGCAGGGTTTCCAGAATTATCTGGAGCAAGCGGCTGGAATAGCGAGGCTGGTATTAGATCCGCATCGCAAGGACTCTTTGCTCAGACGCCAGACTTGTTCGCCTCCAGCAAGATGAGCCTCATTCGATGCCTGTAAATATTAGAAGTCTCCAAGGCTATTAAGAGATTTCTTCAGTAACACCACAGACAGTAAGCCTTGGAAGCAGATGGATGACTCTTCTCCCCCCCCCCGCCACTCCCCAGCACCAAAACCTAAGATTTAGCATGTTAATGAGATTTCCTGTTTACATAAGGATATCAGACGAAGCCATTGCTCTGCTCACCGTATCTAGGGAATATTACAGGTTAACACATGCGTTTTATTAAATAAAAGAATAGGACAGGCCTTTTGAATGATGGATCGCTCCCAAATTCAACAGTAGCCAACTGGCAAGAGAGCATTCGAACCAGAAAAGGCGCAGCTGTATCCCTACGTTTAAGTGGGAATTGGTTCTTTTTCTGGAAAGTCGACAAAGTGGGTCAAATTCATAAATATTTCCAGCACAAAACTACCTTTCCACCTCCCTCCCCCGAGTTCAACACAGCGATGCCAACTTTAAATTAGGCTTCAAACCTTATCAGAAATGTTCTGACATCGCCGCACCCATTCCCAAAAATGCTTCCAAGCATTGGAAATCCTAATGAGGATTAGGACGTTTAAGATTGAAACAACCTAATCTAATCAATCAAATCAGAAAGTAATCAAGGGGAGAAGCAACCCAGA